TACAAAGATGAATAGAACTAATTAAGTAGATTTTAGTGTAAATCTCACACTAGTAAGACTGTAATTCATTTGTTTGCCGAATTAGTTTACTTCTTTGCTCTTCTTTTGCAATTTTGTATGGGGTCACTTCCAATTAATTAACATAATAACGGTTTTTCATTGTTAATAATAGGTTAGATCAAAACACATGTACGACTTTAATCTGTTCATCATAATTTATCCATCCATGCATGAGAATGCTGCTTTCATTTAACCAAAATAACTCTTGAACTAGTCTACTACCACATTTTATTTGTTTTTAAATGCCATTGTTTTAAGTCATCTATAGGCATCACAATTCATTCTTTAATCTGTTGAAAAATGCCTTATTCATCAGAACCATTCATATTTTCTTAAAGGAAATCATACGTAAGTTTAAGTTAGCATGCTTAAGAAAGTATGAATTAATAATTTTGTGAAGAGAGTAGAATGATGGTTAAGGCACAACGAATTCATGTTTTAGGTCATCTTTGTTGACCAAATGATCTAAAAGACTAAGCACCAATTGTTCCTCTAATTTTATTCCAGAAATAATCATCTTCCATTTTAAGCAGTGTGGCCTTAATTCATTGACATTGTTTTTCCGTGGAAAACACGAAACAAATAATTGTACTTACTATACATATTTCACATAGCTGACTTCAACTAATCTTACTAACTTGACCTTTAGAAATATATGGTCGGTCCAATTATGTGGCAATTGTTTGATCTTCGACGACACGAACTAGCATGATCAGTATTTCATAAACTTCAAAACCCCACTTCAACCAACCAAATTCAGAAGTGCTTTGCCTAAGCTTAAAGAAGTGATTTTCGCATATTATTTTTCTTCCATGCGTACTTCTTTTGATTTCTGGACTTAATTAGATTGACTAAATAAAACATGTGTTGATGCACAAAATCAGTGAGACTTTAGAACAACGTAAAGTGTTAAGTTTGTGACCTTCGCTTGGTTGTTCCGATCACCTAGTGATGATAATATGTAAAGAAATAGAGACAAGGAAGCAAACACAAAATGTATGCGGCTTACCCTAAGTTTAGCTACGTTCACAGGGTAAAACGAGTTCTCATTAATAGTGAAGAGTTTACACAATACATAAGTTCAATCATAATCATCATTAGTCGGTTTTAATGACAAGTTTAAGTACAATAATGACATCCGGATTTAATTGTAGGAGAATGGTCCCCGTTTATAGTTGAGGAGAGTATTCCGCTCCCGGTCGATGTGGGACTCTAGGAGTTTTATTCCGATGTTGACAAGTGTTGTGTTGTGATTGGTCTCTTGATTGGAGAGGAACTCGTGTGCTTCGGCAAGGGTGCATCCACATGAACTCTTCAGTGGGTCCTTGAATGTATGGAGTTGACCCATACTTAGTAGCTAGTTTTGAGAGCGGTGAAGTATGGTACAAACAACCTAAATTAAGGAAAATAAATGAATAAGAGTAAAAAGGTCAATAAATTATATAATTAAATACTAAAGAAGATAAATACAAAGAAAAAAAAAATTAAGAGTTTGCTGACAGATGTTAGATAGCTATGGAGCAATGGTCCGTTAGGTTAAGATTTTCATATTCCTGAAAAAAAAAGGAAGGAAAAACACATTGTCTTAATATTGCACTTGTACACCCGTATTTTCTAACCAAAATTTAAAATAAAATAATCACATAATTAATAGCATATTCGTAATGTAATTAAGTCAACCGGCATGCCAAGGCACTTAAGAACCTCTCAATATTATCGGGTACTGCTATATGTACATCAATTTTTACTTCTCAAACATCTCTTTTAATTTTGACTTTTGGGAGAAGTAAGAATATGAGTGTGTGAATAACACGAACCTATTATTTAAAAGTATGCATAATTGAAGTTGCCCTACTTAATTTGGTTTCATACATAGGTGCTTTCAATCTATCGGTGTGCTTATCTCAGGTAATTAAGGTCAAGATATCAAATAGGTGTATATTTCAATTAAAAGGTATAAACTTTAGAAACCTTGAACTACTTATCGTGTGTGTGCGCACGCGCGCGCTCAAAGTCTGTCAGTATATGTAAGCTTATCAATAAGTATGTTTATGTCAAAGTTTATCATAAAATGCCAAATCTCGTAAATTAATCTAGCTTAACTTACGTGACTTCCACTTGCAAGTTGCTTTAGTTAATTAATAAACTAATAATTGTGGGAGGCGTTGCATATTGTAAATCGCACAAACGTGTCGCCTTGTAGTAGGTTAATGGCTAACTGCGTTTTACCAAGTTTGGAGGCGTCACCATTGCTATTATCCCTCTCATTCTCTTTCCTCCTTTCTCTCCTCCCCATCTAGACCAACCTCAAGGCTAGCCTCAATACCGTTCCACAATTCCAAACCAGGCTCAGATTAACCCATTCCTCCTGTACAGCTATCTCAATCTCAATGTCCTCATCTTCTTCTACAGGCCTGAAGATTTTGAGGATTTCAAAATACCAATCTTGGGTCCATTTGATTCCTAAAAAATATGAATTCATAAGCTAAAAAAATCTCAAAACTTTCCAAAAAATTCTTCAAAAATCATTTTTCGAAAACATAGTACCAACTGACCATCGTCTTCCTCGATGAAACATTAAGAGGGTAAAAGCGACGTAGCTTCAGTTGCTGAAGACTCTGTTCTTCCTCCCCAACTCCTCCATAACTGCTGCTAGAAGATAAATTAAAAAAAAAAATATATATATATATATATATATCAAATTTAAAAACGAAATCCAAAAACAGAGCAAACAGGTTGGTCACTCGCGAGTTTGGGTGCGAGCTCATCCCTAACCTTCTCACCAGAAACGAAGAATATGTAAAAATTAATCAGAGTTTTCATAAAATATACTACCTAATTACCTGCTATTGGAAACAAATAATAAATACACAGGGAATTTTAAAACAATTCAACTGCATGCAATTTAATCGAAATTTGTAAAGAAAAAAAAAGTCAAAATATTAGAAAAATTAAGAAGAAAAATTATTAACCACACAACCAAATTTAATAAAAATAAATTACCGAAATTAAAACCCAAATCCCAGAAATGAAGAAAAATGGAACCTTAACATGGAAATTGAAGCTTTACCTGCGGATCGGCAACATCGGCAGGTACCTCAAGAGTGAAAGACATAGAGTTGAAGATGCGTGAGAGAAGAGAGGGAGGAGTGTCTTGCGATCCATAGCTTCGTGTAAAGCTTGAAGACCTTGTAGAAATACGCGCGGTACTCGTGCCTGAACAAATTAAAAAAAATTGAAATGAAGAAATAGTTGTTTGGAAATTAGGGTTTAGGATGAGAAATGGGGAGAATCTAAAGAACCTCTGTTGCAGTGGTAAAAGGGGAGCTCTCTGATTTTAAAGAATCACAGGGAAGCTCTCCTCAAATATGGTGTAATTTGAGACCAGTAGAATCGCTTTAACTGAGATTTAAAAGCGAAAGAGAGCGAAAGAAGCAGATTTTCCTGACTAAGATCGCAAGTTCGGAGAGGGAGATAAGGCGGCGTTCGAGAGCGAGGGAGACAGAAGCAGAGAATTGTAAGAGAAAGAAATCCGGAAACGGAAGGAAAAAGTCGAGAAGAAAAGTGGAAGAAGTCGACGCACTACGACGATACACGCATGGAAAGCATGTATGAAAAAGCAGAGCAAAACCAAAAAGCAAAAGAAAACTAACGAAAAAGATATGAAAATTTTAAATTTTAACGATAAAAGATAAAATAAAAGATAAAGTGAATAGTATGAGGATTGATTTTTTAGTATAAAAATGTGATTTTTCGTTAAAGTGAACAGTATCATAGATTTTTTGTTAAAACTTCCAAAAACAAAAAACCAGAGACGGAGGAATGAGAGATGAGCATCCAGCAAGGACAAAACAAAGCAAAGTGTGAACAGTACGGGGACCAAAGCAGAAACCAAGGGCAGTTCCGCCCTTTCACTGTTGGTGAACAATGCTTGCTCTCACAGGTTGAAAAGTGGTTTCTGCTAAGCTTTAGTATATAGATAATGTACGGCACGTTTGAAAATCTCAACCAAACGATTGATATATATCATTAGTTAAAAAGGAATAACTCTTTAAATGTATTTTATATGTATAAACCCAAAATAATATCTAAAAGGAAAACTAATAAAAAAAGATTTGAAAACTTTGAGTTATAACGATATGGACAAAATAAAGGGTAAAATGAATAGTACTAGGTTTGATTTTTTAGTATAAAAATATGATTTTTCGTTAACATAAACAGTACCGTAAACTTTTCGTTAAAACCCCTATATCTAAAACCATTAGCATATGAGCATATTCTAAAGTTCATGAATTTATAGATGTGAACGTGTGATTACGTCAGATGGAATTCATTCACTTTTGTTTCTTTTTTCGGAAAGAAATCATCTTCGCATCTTTTCCTTCAAAATCCAGAGATCAAGTGATCCAAAACTTTAAAATTTGATCCAACGATTAAAAACAGAAAAATTAGTAAAACTTTTAAAAATTATAATAATTTTTAACCGTTAAATCAAATTTTAAATGTCCAAATCACTTGATACCTGAATTTGAAAGGAAAGATTCAGAGATGATCTCTTTCTTCTTCTCCCCATTAAGAATTTAAGTTTAGGAAAACTAATGAAAATGATTTGAAAACTTTGAGTTTTAATGATAAGGACAAAATAAATGATAAAGTGAATAGTACCAGAATTAACTTTTTAATGTAAAAATATGGTATTTCCGTTAAAGTGAATAGTATAACGGATTTTTTTCTTTCTAAAACTCCCTTTTAAGTTTTAGAGGGGCATTGCGCCACACAAAACGTCTGTTGCTTTGCGCGGCTTTTACGCGTTTCTGGCATGTCGATGTGGGAATACCGCTGCCCCACTCGCCATATTTAATATCTTGATCACTAATCACTCAATTTTAATTGTTGACTAGAAATATTGCCCGCGCGTTGCTGCGGGATTAGAAATCGTATGAAAAAAATGTTTCAAAGCTATAATATATTGTTACAAAATGTTAATGTTATCTACACCGAAAGATGTTTGAACTTATTGAAAGAATTTTTACATGAAGAGCATAAATTGGATGAACGAGGCTCTTGAAATTCTTTGAACCACTCTGAATAGCATTACCTGTGAATGATTGATTGTGTAACAAAAATTAATAAAAGAGTATAATAGATGAAACTTTCATATGTATAATTCAAACTTCTACACATTTATCCGTACTTTACAAATTGTTAGAAACTGCTAAGATAACAATTGGTATCACATAATTGGTATGCTATTAAACATAATGAATTCCATGAAACAAAAAAAATGATATGCAATTTTAACTTACGATGCTAAAGAAGCTCTATAAGAGTAGCTGGGTCCTCTATGTTTTATCCATCAAAGGCATTGCAACTGTAGATCCTGAAAACTATAAAAATCCATCCAGTCAAGAGAGAAAATTCAATAGTTATGGGTAAGGTGAATATGGAACCACAAATGTAAGATATACTTGACAAATTTGCAAATTCATTACAATTTCAATTGAATTTCTCGCTTAAAATTCTTAATCTTCAAAACCAAATTAGTTTTATCAAACAACATTCAAAAATAAAATCCAATAAAGGAAAATATCAATTGAATAACCTGAATAAGTGGAAGCATTCATACCTCAATTTAATTTCCAGCTTAATTTTGTTGCTTAAAAATTATGGTCTGCAAAACCAAATCAGTTTTATCAACAATAAGGTATCAATTTATGAAAGCAAAGACAACACATAAAAAGAACATTAAAACTGGAAACCAAATCGTGATACTTCACCATTTGACATAGAAATTTTATCTTGCCTACATACATTGAAATCATTTTTTGTATCTATACACTGATAATTTGAGATTCAATATGGAAAAATTAATCATGACCATTCCTTTCTTTTTAAATCTTCAGGGAAAAATTGAACCACAAACAACCAAAAAACCCAAATAAAAAATAAATTTAACAGCAAAGAGATAAAATATATACCTGACCCAAAAATGGCTTGCAAGCTCCAGAATAAAACCCTAAAAGACACCAAAATCTAATATATATATATATAATTCCCACATATTCGACTTTCACACTATAGAAAACACAACTTCATTGTGACAGCCCTTCCCGGACTTTTCGTAACGTAGGGGTGAAATGACGGTTTTGCCCTTAGCATGGTTTTTCATTGTGTGGTCATTTTTGGTTTTTGGTTGGTGGATTTTGGACCACACACACATCCACACACATTCCTCTCTTTCTCTGCCATGTCCCGAGTCTCTCTCACTCTTCCTTTCCTATCCTTTTGTACGGACGACAACCAAAACCATTGAAACCTTCATAGATCGAGGAAACAAATTACATATTCGTGCTCGTGAGGTCCTTATGAGTTCAACCATACCCATTTCAGGTAAGGATACCTTCGTTTTCACGTCGAACTTGGGATCCCCCGATTTGGTCACTGTTCATGCACACGTTAATTCTTGTGTTTTTGGGAATTTCAAGCTTGTAGGAAGCTTGGTGAGGTCCTTAGGAGGCTTGGGGTGGTTCGTTTGAAGGTTTTGGACGTCGGGATCGTGAGTTACAAGTTTGGTCGGAGTTTGTGGTGTTTTCCCAATGAGATTCTGTGGCTTTTAGTGCTTGAAAGTGGTATGGATTTGTTCCTCTTGTTGTAAGCTTCATTTTGGTACCGATTTTGTGAAATTTGGTTGAAAAACGAAGAAGATACATGGTTTTGAAATTTTCCCGGTTTTCCGGCGCCGGAGTTTGGTCGGAGAAAACGACGGAATATTCCTAACGGCGTTAACGGATTCCGTCAGAGTTAACGGAATATTCCTGACGCTGTCAATGTGCCAGGCACGTGTCTGCGCCTGGGTGGCGCATGTGGCCGTGCCTTGGCAGGCACATGGGGGGGTGTGCAGCATCGGAAAATTTTTCTGAAAATATGGGGATGTTCTTAAGGTTGAGTAGATCACGTTGGTGTATTCATACACCCCATTTGAGCTTTGTATGAGAAGTTATTTCATAAGGTTGGTTATATGCTTTAAAATTAACGTTTTTATAGTTGTTTCACATATAGGTGAGATTTATCCCGAGGACGAGCGCGGTCACTCGAGGCAAGGGGGTTACGACCCTTCTACATATTAGTGAGTGGGCTTTTGGTTTTCCGTATATACCTATATACTTATGTTTTTCCCGGAAAGTGAAATGAAATGTTTATACGTTTATATGTCATGCATTATGTTTGCCCATTTAATTATGCATTATTAGTCGCATATGTATATGTTTGGTGTTGCGGACGCACATGTAAGTGCCAAGTGAGTTATAATTTATGTTTATATTCAGTAGTGATTTGAGATGCATAGAGAGCTCATAACCTACACCCCCGGTGTTAGTGCTCCCGCCCAGAGTTGGGCACAGTCCTTCACGTGATGTTCACTTCCCGCACCACACGCTCATCTTGGATCCAAGTTAGGTGCACAGTCCTGTCGTACATACCACTTTAGGTGGTTCCGACTCGTAGGTGACCCGCGATTATTCGCCCAGCCTTCACGTGATCGTAGCACTTGAGCGTACTTATTATACACCTAGTCCTGTCGTACAGACCACTTTAGGTGGTTCCGACTCATGTGCAAGTATAGTTAGTGAGATGGAGATTTGAGCTCTAGATTCAGCCGTACATGTCACGTTAGGTGACTCCGGCTGACAGATTACATGACATTGTTTAGCATTACCTAAGTACTTGCATTCTGTTTTGAGGCATCTGACATGGCATATTTCTGAGCATTACTTATATTTATATGTATATTCTATTTTCTGGGAAGTATACACGTTTTACGGCGAGGGGTTAGAACTTCGTTTATGAAATGGTTTTTGAAAAGCTTTATTTTTGCCCACTCACCCTTTCTGTTTTGCGCCCCTCCAGGTTCTAGTTGGCTAGCACTTTTGGTGGCTCCCCAGAGGATTTTCCCAGCATATCTGACAGATTATCACCAGTGTAAGACCACATTCGGGTGTGTTTATGTAGTGTTGTTTCTCCCGGACTGCATTAGGTCTTCATGCTCTGAACTTTGTTTTCACACTTACGCTTGCACATGTATGTTCTTACTTGTGTATAGCTGATTTTTATTTATTCGTACTTTTATTATTATTTATTAGCTTCCGCACTGTGCACATGGTTACGTCACTTCCATGTGACGACCAACATGCCCCGATCTCGATCGGGGTGTGTCATTCACAATATTAAAAAAAAAAAAAAAAAAAATTTGTTGCAAAAAATGCTAAAAGGAAAAAACTGAAATTATTTACCTTGAGCATAAACGACTTCGAAGTTGCACATAGAAGCCCCAAAAAACGAAGAGCAAAGTGTCCTGAAACAAAAAAAGAGCTGCAAATCATACAACCAAACGACAGTTCCAAGAATATAAACAAAACACCAAAAATTACAAAAACTAAATTCCAAAAAGCATAGAGCATCGTGTTCTGAAACGAAAGACACAAACAAATCATACACCCAGACATCGAATCTAATAATATAAAGAAAACACCCAGAATTAGAAGGAAAAATTCATACAAAAATCCCACTTGAACATGGAAAACTACAAAAATAAAAATTAAAACAGCAATACTTCAAAGGTTAAAAAAACTCACCACAAACAGAGGTGGACCTTGGAGATAACAAATCCACCCTGATGAAATCCAAAAACCAACAAAATGAGTACTGACCCAGGGATTTTAAACGGAAGATGCAGCAACTATTTATTTTTCCAAGGGTTTTAAACGCAAGAAATTTGCACAAATGATTTGGCTAAGCAAAATGAGAAAGATGAGAAGATCGGAAACCAAAGGTTGAGAAAAGGAAAACAACTGGAAACTGAAGGAGATTCGGAGAGATGCAATTGAAGAGAACTTATACACGATGATCGACACGTGGCAAAACAGTGGAGAACGCATGGGAAGGCTGTGCAAAAGAAGAAAAGCAACGGGCAAGCTGGCATCAAACAGGGGCAAACATGTTCCAGATTTTTGTTTTTTTAATTATACTTTGGTGGCAAGGCATGCATCATTGCTGCCAGGTGTGATGAGGTAAGGTTTTTTAATTATTTTTTGGTGGAAATGCATGTACCATTGCTGCTAGTGTGGATTAGGTAAAGTAAAAGAGGGAGTCATAATGGAAAAAGTAAAGTAAAGTAAAAGAGGGAGTCATAATGGAAAAACGCTGAAATCGAAGAGAGAGTCGGATGGCGACACAAAAAGTAAAGTAAAAGAGGGAGTCATAATGGAAAAAAAAGATATCTAGGATGATCAACACGTGGCCAAAGAGTGAAAGAATTCCGAAGAAAAGAAGGATAACAATAAGGGTTTCTCCAACGCACGAAGCAAGCGAGAGAAATGGAAGAAAGCAGAGAAGCCAGGGGCAGATCCGTCCAGACATTATTTCTGAACAGTGCCGGAACCCAACTGGATTTTAGTATATATAATGTGTTTGATCAATTTGATGAGAGAACCCTTTTTGTGAACAATGCTCTATTGTATAATTTGTTGACATACGTCGGGTCAGTTAGTCAGAAAATTAATTTTTTCTTCCTCACATGACGTTCAAGTGATATGAAATATTTATTTTTTATGTTTCGATTTTTCTAATTGGTCAGAATAGTACGTTGGTATTGAATTCGAGCTCAATCTCTACATTACAATTACATTAATCCCTTATTTAGCCAAATGGCACGTCAAAAAACAAAAAATACGAAACAAATAAAATTAAATTACGTGTAAATATTTATTCATGAAAAAATAAATTTAAAAAATATACGCGTAAACAAATATTATAGGAAATACTCGAAATTAGGAAAAGGAATCTATAACGTTGCCTAATTAACAAAATTGTAAAAAAATTAAATTAAAAAATGTAACTCAGTGAAGCTTCACAGAAGCTGCCTTTTCTTTTGTCTTCATCCTCTCACCTCCCCTGCTCAATAAATTCAAGATCTTTATCAACCAATTCACAATTCAACAATTTCACAAATCTTCCAAATTCCAGTCGAACAATCTTCTTCTTCCAAGTTCCAATTTCAACAACTCTCAAGATCCCCTCAAGCACGTCAGCTACGGCCTCCGATCGTCGAGCGGAAACCCCAAGGGGACCATCAATTTCGGTGACAAGTTTTCGGCTCCGGTACCAGAGCCCCAGAAGAAAGTCCAAGAGCCCGTGATGGCAAACCGGCCCGGACATCCCGGTGGTGGGTGCCCGCCACCGCAGCAAGTTTTGCAGCGGCAGCAAGTTGTGAAGCGGCAGCAAGTTGTGCAGAGGCAGCAAGTTGTGCAGAGGCAGCAAGTTGTGCAGCGGCAGCAAGTTGTGAAGCGGCAGGAAGTTGTTGTGCAGAGGCAGCAAGTTGTGCAGCGGCAGCAAGTTGTGAAGCGGCAGGAAGTTGTTGTGCAGAGGCAGCAAGTTGTGCAGCGGCAGCAAGTTGTGAAGCGGCAGCAAGTTGCTGTGCAGAGGCAGCAAGTTGTGCAGCCGCCGCAGCCACGCGCCCGGCCACAGCCACCGCCTCATCAGCACCGGCAGCAAGTTGTGCAGCCGCCGCAGCCACGCGCCCGGCCAGCGCCTCATCAGCACCGGCAGCAAGTTGTGCAAGTTGTGCAAGTTGTGCAGCCACGCGCCCGGCCACAGCCTCATCAGCACCGGCAGCAAGTTGTGCAAGTTGTGCAAGTTGTGCAGCCGCAGAAGCCTAAGAGGGGCGGATGAGGGAACATGGCGCTGGGTGTGGGAGCTGGGTTGCTGGGTGGATTCTTGATCGGGAATATGTTTGGATCGGGGTGATGACTTTGTTGTTTGAGTTTTTTCAATGATCATCAGTGGATTTTGTGCCTTTGTTTCTGTTCAATAATCATCAGTGGATTTTGTGCCTTTTTTTTCCCTATTCATTTTTCCACCAATTTTTTAGTTCGCTGAATGATTCTCACATTTAAGTTGACTCTCTATATTTTTAAGCCATTTTAGTTTGTAGTATATATGATCTATAAATTCAAGAGAATCATGAATTCTGTTTATAAAGAAGTTAGCACCAGATATTAACGTAATTTAATTACTGACGACCGGAGGGTAGGATAATTTGAAGATGAAAGAACCCTACTGACTAATATAAATTATTCTGGAAGCGTCTTCAACGATTTTAGTGGACACAGCACAGTTATTGGAAGTCAATTAGTTGCCGGCAACCCATGCCAATTGCCAAACCATCCAAATTGCTCCTAGTCCAGCGCACTCCATCTGCCTACTAAAGTCTCCACCATAAAAGTCAAGGAATCCTTGTGTCACAGTCGAAGCGTCTGCCTCACCCTTTGGTGAGCGGCATTGATCATTTCAACTAGGCAATCGTACAAGGCTATGGATATGGCGGTCTGCGTTCGACGCAGTGCAGGCCAAGGCTGGGCGAAGGCACACAATAACACATAATACATAAAACCCTCATCCTGGTTCCATAGATATAAACATCAGCTTTCCTTTCCAAGACATTCGTAATCTCAAATGCATATTCTTCAACTCGCATAGAAACTGCAAAGGTGTTCCGACACTACGGTATATGATCAAAACATAGACCATGCCTAACATGAGTACAATGTGGTTGTATCTTCAAAGAAGCTGCACCCAAATCTAAACACTTTTGGACAAACTAACTAAACTTCGATCAATTGATAATAACAATTACTGCAGCTCAAGCTCCTCGAAAAATAATTCCTCGGCGACAAATTTAACTTGTTTCATCATCTAAAAACTTTACAAATACTCAACACAGCCTCTCAAAGAATCAAAGAGAATTCAAGTTAGGCAACAACATTTTGATAAGAGAAAAGGTAACAACTTTCTATCAGTCAATGAGTAACATACTCTGTCATGGCGGGAGGTCTAACGTCTAGCGCTTAATGTTAAGCATCTCCTTCGCCTCGGACTGCTCCTCCATCAATTCATCACTGGTATACTTGCTCAGCAGCTCCCTCTTCTTCTTCTCCAGCACCATCTTCTCAATCTCCTTATCATCTGGCAGCGGCACGTGCACCACGAACTCCCTCTCCTGCTCACTCCTCTCTTTCAATTCCCTCTCTCTCTGCCTCTCCTCCTCCACCACCTCCTCTTCCTCCTCAAACAATACCTCCTTCACCTTTGCCGCTGACACCACCTCCCCGCTCTTCACCGCCCTCCTCGCTTCACGCCTTATCTCCTCCATCCTCTTCCATTCCGCCACCGCCTCTGCCCTCATCTTCTCCTCCGCCTCCACCTCAAGCTTCTCCAAAATCCCATCCTCATCGTCCCTATACCCATAATAACTAGCATCAATCCTCTTGTATATATCATACCTCGTCCTCCGCTTTCTCAGCTCCGGCGGCTTCTCGAAAAGCTCTCTGACTCCCGGCAGCTTCTTCGCCGCTCCAAAGTACCGATACCCAGGGCCGCGGCCGCTAGGGTTCGGAACATCGACAATATTACCGTCGAGGTCGGTCATCTTAGGGGCGTTTTTGGCATAATTTGGGCCTCCGAGCTCCACAATCCGCCGCTCCCAATGTACCTTCTCTCGAATCAGCTTGTTGATCTCGTCGTTGAGGTCGCGGGTCCGGTGCTCCCCGAGGGCTTCGTTCTGGATCTCGGCGACTTTCCGGCCGATCTCCCCCATGATTTGCTGCCGCCATCTGGAGGCCTCGGCGAGGTCGCGGCACTCGGAGGCGAGGTACGGGCGTCGTTCTTTTGGCTTCTTCTTCTCTTCGGCCTTGAGGGCAATGAACCGATTGAGCATCGACTGCGCTTTCTCTTCGTTACGAGCCATTGCGATTGATTTGCAGTAGAGATTGATTCAGGCGAGAAAAGTCGATGAAATTTGATTAAACCCTAAAAAAACCCTAATTTGAGATACAAAGAGTGAGGTTTTGGAGAAAAAATGGGGATTTTTTTTGTTCAACCGCAAGAGCGAAATAAATATAATCTTTTTAAATCCAAAAATCTCAAATTTATAAAATAAATATTTATATTAAAAGGTCGAAAAACCCAAATTCCCAACACTCCACCGCCCTCGTATTTGATTAGGCCATGACCGCCGCCTCCTCCCCGCCTTTTCAATTCGTCGTTCTAGACGGGACTCCTGATTTACTCACCACTCCCCACATGGCGCAGTCAGTGCAGCCTCCCAATTCGGCCTCCGATTCCGAACCCGACGACTCCCGCTCTCTCTCCACCCACACGATCCAGAACCAAAACCCCAAGCTCCTCCACCTGTCCTTCAACCAGGACCACAGCTGCTTCTCCGTCGCCACGGACTCCGGCTTCCGCGTCTACAACTGCGACCCCGTCCGCGAGCTCTTCCGCCGTGATTCCGATCAGCGGGGCGTCGGAATGGTCCAAATGCTCTTCCGCTACCAAATCCTCGCCCTGGTCGGAGGCGGACCCGACCCTCTCTACCCGCCCAGCAAAGTCATGATGTGGGACGACAATGAGTCCCGGTGCATCGGCGAGCTCTCTTTCCGGTCGGAGGTTAGAGGCGTCAGGCTCCGCCGCGACCGAATCGTCGTCGTTTTGGAGCACAAAATCTTCCTCTACAACATCTCCGACTTAACGCTCGATCATCAGATCGTGACCATCTCCAACCCTAAAGGACTGTGTGAGGTCTCGCAGGGTTCGGGTCACCCCTTGCTGGTGTGCCCGGGTATCCAAAAGGGTCAAGTTCGGGTCGACCATTACGGGTCAAAGCGGACCAAGTTTATCGTCGCCCACGATTCGAGGCTCGCTTGCTTGGGGCTCACGCAGGACGGCCGGCTCCTCGCTACCGCCAGCAGTAAAGGGACCTTGGTTCGGATTTTCAATGCTTTGGATGGTTCATTACTACAAGAGGTATTTAAATTTCAAATCTTTTACTCTGAATTTTCAAATTAATGTGTTTTTGGTGTTAGTCAAATCTGAATCGAATTCTCAGTGTGTTATTCTGGTTTGATTTCATGTGAAAATGAGTGTGCTTTTGTCGAAATTAACATTCATGTTTGATTAAGGTTTAGGATTGATTAAGATTTTATGTTTCAATTGACTGGTTTGCGAACTTAGCCATCGTTATCCAAGTTTGAGTGAAACCCGAAACCAAGCATGAGTTTGTCATAAACGTAAGGTGTTAACTCTGGCACTGCAAGCTGCGGAGATGTGTGCTATATTTGTCGTCTGTTAGAATGTTTCGCTTTAGGAATCGTGTTCTTTACTACTCTTGAGGAAAAAATATATGTACGCTTCTGATCACCGGGAACAACTTGGTATCTTGTGCAGGTAAGGCGAGGAGCAGAGAGAGCAGAGATTTACAGTCTTGCTTTCTCTTCTGGTGCACAATGGCTAGCTGTGTCAAGTGACAAGGGCACCGTCCATGTTTTCAGCGTTAAGGTTGATTCGGGATCCTTGGGGTGTGAGAGATCACACAGACGCAGTGCATCAGAATCCAATCTTCCGAGTCCATCGGGCATTTCACCCCTCTCTTTCATGAAAGGTAACGTACTTTGCTTAGCTTATACTCGAGGGCTCTTCGGCGACAAAAAGTAAAATTTGATTTTTTTTTTTTTTTTGTATATCTTCTACTTCAACTAGTAGTTTCTCGTTCTAATTATTGCGAAATACTCAAACTTATCGGTTGGGGGGTTGAATATAGTGAAAATATTGCATCATGTAGCCTATTCTTACTTAACGGCAACAGCTAGTTTGCATTTTAACTTAGGGTTAACTTGCAGACCCGGTTACTCGGAACATCCTATGCCTTTGCATTTTAGATTAACGTCAATTTTGAAATGAATAACGATTGCAGATTCTGATCTTGGTCTTTCGGTTTCATTTTAGGTTTTTCGTTCTCAGGCGTGCTGCCAAAGTATTTCAGCTCAGAATGGTCAGTGGCTAAATATCACTTGCAGGAAGGTTTGCGGTACATTGTTGCCTTTGGCCACCAGAAGAACACAGTAGTGATTCTCGGCATGGACGGAAGGTAAGGGAATTCGTTATTGTTTGTTGTTTTTTGTTTATATGTCTATTGATTCCATGGAACTAGCTTCAACTAGGACGTTCTTGATTTTAATTCGGAATCAACTTCATTCTTTTCTTTGCCGCATGTGAATATTACTCGTCTAATCCAAGTATCGAATTGCCTTTGCAGCTTCTACCGATGCCAGTTTGACCCCGAAAATGGAGGAGAGATGACTCAGATTGAATACTATAATTTTCTAAAGCCAGAAGAAACTTCCTGAACTAGTGCAAAATGCAAATATACAGTTTAAATTATTTAGGGTTGAGATTAGTACGTTATAAATATCTGAGGAGATGACGAATGTGCTAGAGATTGTTCAACATCGGGGTTACATGTATATAACAGTTGGTTAATTTTACTGGTAAACTTTTATCTCCAAAGTTTTGGTTCGCAACACTTGGAAGACTTAATGCAAAAACGAGCGCAGTAACGTTTTGAGATTCATACATCGGACCCACATGGTGAGTTAAGGCTTTGTTATTGTTGTTGTACAGAGGCAATATCAATTTACGAAATGATTCACATCAATATCAAGAGTGTTTTCTTTCGACCTTACACGAACGCGTGCTTACTAGCTGGCAAATGCAGACGCTCTTCTTCCTTTTAAGTCACAGGATTACAGGAACCAAACTAACAACAAACATCCTGAAAACAAAAGGTTTTCGCTTACATATCTGAATTGGACTCCTCTGGGATCACTGTTAAGGTCACTGTATCGTCTCTCGCTCGTATGACGACTACCCCGATGGGCAGCCCGACTCGGTCCCCCATTATTTCAATGATCTGTCACAATTTCACCACTCATATGAACCATCATATTGCATAATCATATGGAAAGAGATCCTCTCCGGATCTCTTCCACCAAAGCCCGCGGATTAAGTGATCCGGACCTTTGAAATTTGATCCAACGGCTAAAAACAGAGGTCCTTTTAAAAGTTATAATAATTTTAGCCGTTGAATCAAATTTCAAAGGCCTGGATCACTTGATCCGTAGGCTTTGGTGTTAGAGATCTTGGATCTCTTTCCTAATCATATAACCAAGTCGTATGCTAAAGTTTGGAGTAAATACTATTCATGTCTGCTAGGACAAATTTCAACAAAAACCAGCCATATGCCTAATTTGGTGATTTCAAAATGTAATAATATTATGATAAGGGTTCTGAGTACCTCCTTGATGCTTGCAACAGCGTTTCCATCAAATTCAATAACGACATCACCAGGACGGAACCCGGCTCGTTCAGCAGGTGACCCAGGAGTTACCTATAATACGATGAACAATGGGAAAATTATTAGATGATTGATCCAGCTATCTTAACGAAAAAAATAAAGCGTCGTTTTCATATTTGTACATCACACACCCATTTAGAAAATACGGATGCATAAAACGGAACTCTTGGCAGATTTGGTACGAAAGTACGAAGTCATTTAAATGTCTTTGTGATTCAGAAGCTGCCAAAGGATGGTATAGATATATTCGATTATTCCCCACCCCTGTGGAAGGAAGCAACTATGTACATACCATAGGCACAAGAATGCCTTTCTTCACGTTTGGAAATGTAGGATCTCTTTCTTTAAGCTGGGTGATGATGACCTCAGTGAGATCAACCATCTTTAGTCCAACCCAAGGCCGAACAACCCTCCTGCCAAACATGACTGGTTAGTTTCACAGATGCTGCCATAAAGGAAACCGATTTGTCATACAGTTATACTTTAGAGTCCTAGATAATGAGTTTCATGCTGAAACAACCGTACCCACTTTTCTTGAAGTGCTCCATGATTTTGGTGACTGAATCAATTGGGAAGGCAAAACTCAATCCATCAGCAGCATAGACTTTCATAATATTAACACCAATCACTTCTCCGTCAATATTGACCAAAGGCCCCCCAGAATTTCCCTGCACCAGGCAAGTAAGATACCAGAAAAAAAAGGAGCCAAGTCTTAGACACATTTTATTAAGGGACGCACAAAATGAAGAGAGAGAGATACCGGGTTGATTGCGCAATCTGTCTGTAAATACTCTCTCCGCACTCCACCAAGACCCAAATCAGTGCTCTTTCGGTCAACACAACTAGATTTTACAGAGAAACAAAATGAGGAAACAGCAAGAACAAGGATGCTTACCATTGTCAATTTAAGAGACAAAGGGTTGAAATTGCTTCGTTGCTAGGAGTTTCATTTCATAACTGGTAAAAGAAAAGAACAACTGCTTATTACTCAAAATTATTATTTTTACCTTACGATACCAGCTGTGACAGTATTCTGAAGTGAAAGTGGACAGCCAACAGCTATCACCCAATCCCCAGGTTGAAGTTTACGCGAACTGCCTAGCTTTGCTGTTGGCAGTGGGGTTTTAGAATTTATCTTTACTATAGCCACATCGGATTGTAAATCTGCATTGACCACGGTACCCTCAAATGTTCTACCATCTTGCAAGGTGACATGAACCTGTACCAAGTTCCACCAAACATCAAACCTACTGCATTTCGTAACTCAGTCTTACAACTCTTACCCCTTCCAATATGTAACAATGTGATATGTTAAATGACGAGAACTGGGATGTAGTTTCTAACCTTCCCTTTTGATGAAGCTCTCAGGCCATAAAAATCAACTACAGTATGAGCGCATGTTAAAACTGTACCGTCCTCATCAATAATCGTCCCGGAGCCTATACTCTTTCCCGGAGTGATCCCATATGCACCTACAAGACTCAGTTGACAAACTAGCATTATTGTCGATTTCTCAATAAAATAAAACTACCTCAAATAAAAATGCAAAACCAGAAAAACAGAAAACCCAAAATCCGTTCTCACCCTCTGGAGCAGAGATGTTGACAACAGCAGGACCGACCTTCGCAGCAGCCTTTGCGAAAGAATCCCTGCCCAAACATCCAGAACATGGCTTAGGGGCCTCTTCAGAAGGGGAAACACCAGAAATATCCTTCCTTATATCTGATGATGGAATTGAACTAGTTCCCACAGAAAACAGTGGACCCAATAGCCCCGTTTGCCATGGAAGCTGCAAGGATTCGCGCAATGGTGCAGTGATTGACACTGATGCCGTATAATCTAAAACCCAATTCAGAAGAAAGATATGATTACCGTAGCTACAAACAAATGGACTAAAATCACGGTTAATCGACTAAAAGCACACCAATGTTTAGTTAAAATTTATAAACATTAAGGCCAAAAACATCTCAAATGATTTCTGAATCTCGATCTCAATTAAATGTTTGATCAATCAAAACCCAACCTTTGACATTTCCTGAATTACCCACCAAGCAAAAAATGTTTGACCGGAGTTTGGAACAATAAAAAACAAAGAACTTGGAGCTCACCGGAGTTTCTGCTGCCGTCGGATAACATATAAGCCGACCCTGCAGCGGCGGCAATCCGGTGCGGAGTAGAAATTTTTCTCTGCCGGAATCAGACAGGAAATTCATAAGTTTCCAGCGAAGTAACAAAATTAAAAAAACTAATTTAAATTAAACTGCGAGAATACCAGAAAATGGTTCATGAGTAAAGAGAAAAAGAATGCTTCTTCAATGCGTCTGGAAATTAGGAACGCAAAGCACATCAAAAACCCACGCTAAACCCGCCCTTTTACTTTTCGCGACGGTGCCTAAGGCTATGTGCTTTTATTAAAATAATTGAAACCGTATTTGATAAAAGTGTTTTTAAAATCAATCTTTAATAAAAATGGGCTTTGGGCCATATCCCAATAGGTAACTAAGCTTCAAGCCCAACAACGTGGTACCCAAAAATTGCAAGGGTTAGGCCTCCCGGATGGTAATACAAGGGTTTTTTGGTAAATAGGAAATTGGTACACGATTAGTTGAAGATAAATCAGGATTAACAACTCCTTTATCATTAATCAATTCTTAAAGGGCACATGTGAAATTTCACATTGCAAGACGGAATTTTAATACACAAAACCAAAAGCTTTTCCGTTGAAATTTTCAGATATACCCCCTACTGCATTTTTGCACTACATACAATACATCCGGTTACCATCGCCTTAGCAAAAAGACCAAAATACCACTGAGCCTTACAGATCCCGGCTGAGATTAATTAGTCCTAAAAAACGACATGCGTTTTACGCCTTCTTTGGGGACTTTGCTGCCTTGGGAGACTTGGGCGCCTTCTCGCCTTCTTGGGAGCCAGCGGTCTTCTTCGGAAGCAAGACTGGATTGATGTTGGGGAGCACGCCGCCGCTTGCGATGGTCACGCCGGCGAGGAGCTTCCCCAGCTCCTCATCGTTTCTCACCGCCAAAAGCAAGTGCCTCGGGTTAATCCGAGTCTTCTTGTTGTCACGCGCCGCGTTTCCAGCCAATTCCAGCACCTGATTTCAATCCGCCACCACGAATATATTAGCAAAAGTTAAAAAAGATATATAAGCAGAAAATGTTTGGATCTGGGAAATGTGGATCGGGAAATCACCTCGGCGGCGAGGTATTCGAGGACGGCGGCGAGGTAAATGGGAGCGCCGGTACCGGTACGCTGGGCATAGCGTCCCTTTTTGAGGAAACGAGCGATACGGCCGACGGGGAATTGGAGGCCGGCCTTAACTGACTTGGACACCGACTTCTTCCTCTCTCCGCCTCTTCTTCCGCCGGCTCCCTTTGTGGCTTTCGTGGCTTCCATTCCCTCTGAGTTTTTGGGGAAATGAAAACGATTCGTTTAGGAGGGAAAACGAATTGTTGAGAACTGAGATGCGCTCGGATTTGAATTTTGGTCTGGAGTGTTTTTTGGTGCGTGGTGTTTTATAGTGGGGTTTGCCACGTTGGCGATCCAAGTGCTTTTGGGTGGCCAATTGGATTGGTTTCAAATAAGGGAACGGTTCTGATTTTTTTATGACGATCAACGGCTGTGAATTAATGACATGCTGGCAATCCAAGTCCTTTTGTGGCCACTCGTTGGAGCACTGGATAATGCTTTTGGTTAAACTAGGGCTGGGCACGGGCCGGGCCGGGCCCAATTTTGAAGGGACCGGACCGGACCTAAGTTCAAAGAGAACGGGCCGGGCCGGGCCGGGGATTACATTTTTTAATATAAGAACCGGACATTACCCGGCCCGGTTGGAACGGGCCGGTTCGGGCCGGGTCCACGGGTCCCTTTTTTTTTCTTTTTTTTTTTTTTTGGTTGTTTGAAAGAAAAAAAAAATTGTACAGAACTAAATACAAAGTCCAACATCCAATCTAAATACAAAGTCCAACATCCAAGTTCATAGATTAACAATACATTCAAAATAATAATATTACATCTTCCAAGTTCAAACAAACCTCATACAGATTGAAATTTTATTACCATCCCACCCTCATTCATTTTTTTTAAAGAACTTTTATTTCCCTCTCTCAAACAATATTTCTGCTGATGGTCTCACCTGTAGCCCTTTGCCTGTATTTTTGGTGTAGGACCACTAAGATTGTTAAACGATAAATCCCTGTGTAATATTGTTGGGAAACAAATATTAGAGTCGCTTTAATCAATACAGAAATAAGAATACACAATTAGAGATGAGAGGAACACATACAAGAATGAAAGACCTGTGAGATCGGCAACAAGTTTTGGAATATGACCACTCATCTTATTTCTATTCAGCCTCCTGAAATGCTTGGCATGGAAAAGGTTTCAGATACAAATACATATCACTAGCAAACATGTAGCTAGAAGAAATCAAAATATTAGTATACCATCAATATTGAACCCTACTCACAAGTAACTTAGATGAGTCAAAAGCCCCAAAGAGCTCGGAATGTTCCCAATACTCGGCGAGAGCATCCCAGATAAATTCGTGCTGACCATTGCACTGGCAAAAGTAATAACATTAAACCCCATTTTCGAGTTTAGCCACAAATGCATGCTACGGCTACTAATAGGATAATTCATAGCTTTCAATGGAAACAGACTGCAGAAAACACTCTCGTTTCAACAGATGCTCACAAAAGAAACGTTCTTTGTTTCTTTCTTGTTTAATTGATTTCCAAATAACACAAACGCAATGTACCATCCAATGCTTTACACCAATATTTTCCCAGAGCATTTTCTCGAGAAACAAACAGAAACCAATACACAACGGAGAATTACAGGGACACTTACAGGGAGATTACAAAGCCCTCAGTGGAGCAACCAACCATGTTCCAAGTGCAAGGATCAACGGAGTTTATATCCCAACCGGCCATCACAAGCAACTCATCCTTCATATCTCTCTTCACCGACATCAATGCCGCCATTAAAACCCCACCAAAAACAAGAACATCACACGCACAATTTCACCTTAATTTAAGAACTCAACAAAACCCCTAAATCTAGAAAACCCTAATTTCATTTTGAACATAAAAATGTAAACCCAGAGAACTCACTCACCGCAAATCCAACTCACCCCCAACACATTTCAACAGAGAAACCAAAATAAATCCCAAAAGAACAAAAACCCAGCTCCAAAAATCAAATAAAAACAGACCCAGATGACCATTTCAATCAAATCACAACCAAAAAACAAGCAAGATCCATGTGAAAATCGCAGCAAATGAAAGGAAGCAGAAGAAAATATTTACCTTGCTGGGTACACGAGTTGTTCGACTTCATTGTTCGTCCCTTTAAGTTTGTCAGAGGGAGAGAAACTGATTTCCAGAGAGTGAGTCAGGAAAATAGATCGAAGCTTGATGATGATGGCAGCGGACGGAGGGAGGAAGATAGAAGCAAATCAGGATGAGAGAGGTCTGAGTGATGATGGTAGCGGTGGTGTATGGAGCCGGGAGAGTTAGGAGGAGAGTTAGGAGGATGATCGGAGAGAGTTAGGAGGAGAGAGGTCTGAGTGAAATGAGAGGAGTCGGGAGGAGAGTTCGAGAAGACTAGGAAGAGGATTATTCATTCTAGAAACGGGCCGGGCCGGGGGCCCGTCCACTTCTATTTCAAGATCCGCCCCGCCCCGTTAATATGGTATACCCGAACCGCCCCGCCCCGTTTTGTGTTTAGAAATTTTGGACCCGACCCTTACCCGCCCCAAACAACGGGTACCCGTCCCTACCCGCGGGTCCAGGACCCGTTTGCCCAGCCCTAGGTTAAACTGCTATTTACTCACATTTTTTTCTCTCACACACTTTTGTGGATTTTTTGTTATTGATTTTTTAATTCTTTCAATTCGATAGCTTAGAATTGAGGAATTTGAAAAGTAAAAATTGGTGGGTGTGGTCCTTGTGGATAGCACCAACCTTTCTCGGAAGGTCAAAAAGGAAATATTTTTGTCTACCACCCTATTTATTCAGTGACGGTGATGTTTAACACCCTACGTATCACCATTAGATGAATTTCAATTTTAAGATCTATGCAGTGGATAAACACCAATATCAAAATCTAAACTCATCCAGTAATGATAAATAGAGTAATAAACATTACCATTACTTAAGGATAATGAGGAAAAATGCACCCATTAAAAAAAAACGTGCGTAAATCATTTCCAAATTTATAACACAGCAAAATGTTAAATTATATCAACCCACTTAATTATTTCTACACATAAATGATTACAACGTCTCTCTTAGGAGAAATTTTTCAGTGTATTAGAAACACGGTACACCAAATTGACATAAAACAAGTGGTTGAATATTTGAAAAAGAAAAAAAAAAAAAAAAATCAACTACTTGTGTTATGATATTTGGTGTACCCCGATGCGTTCCCGACACATTGAAAAATCTCTTGTCTCTTAGTATTCCTCACGAAATAAAAATATCATGGATTGGTCTTTAAACAAACTTCCTTGAATCATTGGCATTTGGAAATGTAAACTGATCATTTACTACGTCATAATTAATGATTAATTCCAACGTAATCCTATAATTATCTCTTAATTAATTAACCTGCATGTGCTGTCATGGCTACAAGCTGATCATCACTTGGGAAAGAGCTAATGATCTTCATCTGCAACTTCCTCAAATTTGCAGCAAACTCCAAAGCTTCATTCATCGCAGCCCGAGCATCGGCCAACGCCCCCTCGAGCTCCTTATTTATCAAGTAGAACGAGGATATCTGACGTAAAATTCGGTCGTGCCTCTCTTGAAACCTCGTCGCCCTTCTTTCCGCTTGCTTCAATGCTTCACCGATGATCCTCAGTTTTTCAGTCGTTACTTGTTGCGTACGCCAACTCTTGACGTTTGGCACGAAGAAGAAGAGCGAGGAGGAGAAGCCGATTAGGGCGAAAATTACGCGGCCGAAATCCATGGAGTTGGTGTTCATTGGTTGAAGACTTGAAGAGGAGAAGTGAAAACAAAATGGAAGAAAGAAGGGAACGTAGTTAAAGATTCTTTACTTTAAGGGATGGCATTTCAAGTAGAGGTACGTACGATATGTGTTTGCCATATAACTCGTTAAGGAATAGTCTTTACTTTTCCTTTTTGCCTGGTATTTTAAGGAAACCTGCCCCATCATCTCTAAGAAAGATAATGCGTGATACTATTTTCGAAATTATGCAAGGCTCCTTATTCTTTGAGATGGGTTAAAAATCTCGAAAAATCTTTTTGCATCAAAATTCATCTCTATTAGTAGTGACGAAGCTTGTTTTATAATATTGAGGTCATAACTTTAGCCAAAAAAAACTTCTTTGGATCATTTCGTCGAGTTTCTGGTGAGTGCATGTCAAGTTATGCTGCATTCTGTCTATTTTTGTCGAGGCTTAACAAGTGAAACATTTTATCGAACACAAGAAATATGAGAAAGAAAAAAAAGACAAATGAAAGAAAGAAAGAAAATTTACAAAATAACTATACATGGGGTTGCAAAACAGAACATCAATTTATAATTCAGTGTTTCTGACTTATCTTTTCAGTTTGCCATAGTTATATATAAGTGTCGTACACAAATATATAGATAAATATACATTGATGTTATAAAGTTATTGACGTCAATAGTAACCAATGGACCCATGTTGGCTCCGTCATTGGTACTTAATATGTACTAATGTTCTTGTCATCTTAATGAGTACCATGCTGATTGTAAAAAGTATAAGATGTTAAAAAAAAACTGGTGCGCATCCAGGGAATCGAACCCTGGTCAGTACCGTGGGAGGGTACTATGATACCACTACACCAGATGCGCCCGTTGTTGAATGGGTTCTCCGTTTGCAATTTGTTTATATTTTTTTTCTCAATAACTTAAAAAAATTTTGAAATTTGTATGCTCCGAGAACCTAGATTGATTTCCTCTATAAAAACTGTGCTTAGATATATAAACACAGTTTATGACACACATATTAATTTTTTTGTCAGTTCACGTGATGTCGATCATAAAGTTGGTTTGGTGACAAAAGAAGCGTCATCAGTTTCACGTGAAATTAATGACAAAAAAAGTAACACATGCATAACAATTGCAAAATTTAAATATCATTTACTTGTTTCACGTGAACTGACATAGAAAGCGCGCAATAGTTACATAAAATAATGATTAACTAAAATAGTTTTTTGACATGCATATTAATTTTCTTGTCAGTTCACGTGATGATAATAAAATTGATTCGGTGACAAAAGAAGCGTCAACAGTTTAACTTGGTTCGATGACAAAAAAAACGTCAATAGTTTAACGTGAAATGACTGAAGAGGTCCCACATGCAAAGCTTCTCATTTCCTTTTTTTTCATATTTAAATCCTTGATCACATCACAATGTCTTGCATGTAAAATCCCAAACTTGTCAACGATTCAAAGACCTTGGCCGGACACTTTTATTGGACAGTTTGGCCTCTATTCTACCTCGAGCAGTTTTTAAACTTGGACCATTTCGTTGCCTTCGTGACTTTCGTCTTCCTCTTTTACCTCCGGAGCTAAATGGTTTTCTGTTGCCTCGAATGCCCTCTAACCGCTGACGCCGAATCTCAGGATCAGCCCAGCCTTTGCCCCAGTCCGAAAAAGTTGAGAAAGATTTAGGTCTGCTTGCAGAGAGTAGCATATCCGCTTCAGGGTGAACGTAGAAAGTTTGCTCCGTTTTGGATTCGAGAAACTCCAACCCAAGTTCTGTTAGCTCGGGGAACTTTAGCTGAACGTGTGTCTGCGTAGAATGTTTAAGTCGAAAATGTGAGATCAGACTGAGCAAGAAACTGACACGACGCATGGTGAATCAAGCATGCAGAGAAAGACTTAGCTGATCAGGATAAAGGAAGTTTATACCTTTTCATCACCCTCTTTGACGTAGCCTTTACCTTCCACGATTCGAACAAGGCCTTGCCACCAAAGAAGTTCGGTTGCCATAAATTCTTGAGACTGCACACGGCGTCCATGGCCATCGTATGAAAATCACCAAACAATGTGTTAGAATTTGAGTTGCATCTTAAGTGCCACTGCAAGAATTTTACACAAGCAGAGAGCGAGAGAGAACCCACCTGCTCCCTTATTTTACTGACAATCATCCTGAGATTTAGCTTTCCCATATACCTCTCATGTCTAATATCAGTACCCATGTCATCATCATATAAACCGATCCTGTATTTACTTGCATGATGAGCAGCAATAACCTGCATTAAGAGATCTGTCTCCTTTCTCAAATTTTGCAGTTCGGGGGGTCCATTTACACACACATCACAGCTGCATTGAAGTAAATTGATTAATATGCATAAAATATGAAAAACCGTCACGCACGAGTAAAGATAAAACACATTAAAAATAAACTGGCCAAAAGCAAACTCTGGTGAAGAAAATATTCAAAACAGAACCTCAAAAGAGGAGAAATGATACATACAAGAGACACTTTTCCTTACTGAAATCCTCCCCGAAGTACTCCACAAGTTTTTTAGCCCGACAGCATGAAGAATTCATTCCATACCTGCAAGTAAACAGAGAAGTATATAATACCTATGTATTTGCCTGCAAGCGTGTGAAACAAACAAGGTTGCAAGGAGATGTATTTAACATAAACCTGAAACAATCTGATAACATCTTATATGCTTGCTTTGTCTGCCCTTCACTTCTTCGACTCGGCAAAAGTGACGGAGCTCTTGTTAAGTTTGCAAATAAAACTGCTCAAGAGAAACAGACGAGGTTTAAGTCCAATCCAGCAATCTGGACTTCAGAACAAAAGTCACATTTAACAATACAAAAATAACGAGAAAAAGCAGATATGTTTCAAGCAGAATATACATGAGCTTGGAATGCATAAAGTTAGCTTACTTGTCACAAAGAGAAATATAAGGTTAAAATTTTCAATTAACTTAACCTAGTTACAGCTCATATTCTGAAAATCAACTTACTGCAGTCGGCTAATTTCCCATCTCTACCTGCTCGACCAGCTTCTTGATAGTATGCTTCCAAACTCTATAATAGAGCAAAACGTTATAAGAAGCTCACACACAGCAGTGTATAATTAAGTAATAAACCAATAGCTGTCGTCGGCATATATACTGCGTTAACAAAGAAGCAAACTACTGAATCTATGTTTAGTTAGAACAAACAAAATGAAGCAAAACTAGAGTAAAAAGATCACCTGTGGCCAGCCATAGTGGATGATTCTTCGGACATTTAGTTTGTCAATTCCCATTCCAAATGCAATTGTTGCAACAACAACCTACAATGGGAGGAAAATAATTTTAATGTCGAGTTTAGACTCCCACCTTTTCTCTTCAATACCTGGTTTTTAAGTTTAAGATAATTATTTTTCAGAACTTAATGGATCATTAATGAGAACAAATGAAACTATAAACCTCAAGTTGCTAAATTGAAATTTATTAACAAATGCCTCAAACAAATTCCAATGCTTAACAGGAGATCCAGCATATGCATAAAAAATTTGTTTAGTTTTAGATGTGATATACATATACATATAGAGCACAGAACAATCAGGAATTCAACATTTTTAGCATCTTCCGTAAGCCTGAAATTCATACCTCTAAAGTATTTTCATGAAACATCTTGTGGACCTGCCTTAGATGCGACTTTGGCAACTGGAGAAAAATTAAACCCACATATATGGTAGCAAACAAGAGATAGACTTTCAGTGGCAGCATGCAGTATCTTCAATTTAGCAATTGGATAATGAGCAGAATTCAATAATGAACTAGCATGATAGGTGAAAGTCAAAAAAATCCATCACCAACATTCATCTAGAAGAGAACACTAGAATAATATGCATTTATAAAAACCTGCAACTGTTATAAATCCATGACGTACCGCTGCATTATAGGCAGCAGCTTTCACCCCGCACCGACAAAGATAATTTGCAATGCTCAACGTTCCCTTCCTAGTAGGAACATATATGATGGTTGACCCTTTCTGTAATGGCTCTTGCACAAGTCTTAGTCTTTCTTCCAGTTTATTTGGAAGATCAGTTATATTAGATCTAGTTTCTTCTCTAGTATTCCAGTCATCACAAACAGTTTGTCTCGAGAATTCACCGCAGCTAACTGTATGAAAAGATAAGTGCATTGAACAATAATCATATCTGACAAGACAACTATCAAGTCTATTACTAATATCACAGGAGTCCTAGATCATATAACAAAGGAAAAGATAAAAGAGAAAAATAACAGAAATTTCAAATAACAATACCGTCCCAATCATTCACGCTCTGGAAGATGTCAAGGTCATTTTCCAAGTAGTCAACTGACAGCTCCCTTCCCTTTGAAGCACTTGAACCATTTTCCTGGGATGAACTTGCTTCATCACCCCTGTCAGAGAAGTCATCCTCAATATTGTCCAAATCATCCTGAGAAATGCTATCTACCTCTGATATGCTACTATTAGCAGAGCAATTCAGGAGGTCGTTTAGTTCTTGTGACATGATCATTTGTTTCTTTTCTCCTGTTTCTCTCTTTCCAGTATACATGTCTATCAATTCACGGAAATCATCCTCATAAGTTGATGCAGATGTTCTACTATGTTGTACCTGTAAGTCATGATAAAAGTAAATGGATGAAGAATATAAGAAATTATCATAACTGGAATCTATGATTTATCCATGCAGAACAAAACCCTCCTGCTGATAATTTTATTAAAAGAACCTAAAGTAAGACTAAAACTTTTTCTAAAACTAATACAATAAACTTACCTTAAATCTTAGATTTGGCCGGAAAAAGGAAGTTAGCACAACCTTCGTTTCCTTTGACATGGACAATGACTTAAGAATGTCTTCCCGGACCTGAATTGTGGCAGTAGCAGTCAATGCCATCAGTGGTATATCAAATTTTAAGAATTTTAACTCGCAAGCACTGAAGTTCTTTCGCAACTCAGACAATTTCCTGAAACATTTGGAAATACGTGTCAAGGAAACATGATAACCTTCGACTCCAAATGAACTAAAACGATGCCATATCGACAGCAGATGTGGAGGCTAGATCCAAATGACTAATAATGCTCATGTCATCTACGCCCATGTTTAGGACATGCATCAGTCATACCTAAATCCAACCATTAATTTGTAGTGGTGTATATGATGCACTTGTAAACAGACATCTGACAAACCTGTAGTCAGGCCGAAAATCATGCCCCCACTTCGAAACACAATGGACTTCATCAATAGCGAAAAGTGCGATTCCACGATTTTCTGCTAATTTTTGAAGTGGCTTTATCAGTCTGTAGCACGATAGATTGCAATTTCTCAGACACTTCAAGACAACTTAGTAAAACAATAGTTATTTAATAAAGAAGTCTCTTACCTCAAGATAGTTTCAGGACAAACATATACTATGTCGTACATTCCTGTCATTGCTTTGTTTTCCACAGTACTATCTGGTTGCCCAGATCCAAGAAAGCAAGCAGATACCCCATGTTTTGCCAGCTTTAAGCATTGATCGTGCATCAAGCTTATCAACGGTGAAATCACAACCACCACCTTCCCTGTCAACAATGCTGGAATCTGGAAGCACAGAGATTTACCTGCATAAAAGGTAATTATGAGTAAATGCAGCCAACCATCTAACAGAAAGATAAGGAAAACAGACACAAAAATAAGCAAAAAATAATACCAGACCCTGTTGCGGCAAGAACAAGAGAATCTCGGTGAGCCATCCAAGCAGCCAAGACCTCCTTCTGGAAACTTTTTAATGATGAATAACCAAAATGCTTTTGCAAGAGACTGTTAGCTGTCTTCTCCCAATCTGATCGAATGTCCAGGCAATCCGATGCAGACAATTCTGTCAAGACTTCAACACTATGATCCACAACAGAAGGAGGTCTCTCACATTGTTCTACAGAAGCGCACACTAGTTTTGATCCAGAAACAGAAACGTCAGGTACAACCTCAGTCTTAATCCGTTTTGGTCTACCGGTGGAATGAAAATGATCCAGTATGCTAGACTGTCGAATTTGACACGGAGCAGTAAAAGCCCTTTTCCCCAAAGCCTTCACATTCCTTGTGGTGCATTTTGAACTACTCAATGCTCTCTGATTGTTTCTACTACAACCATTCAATACATAATCCAATGCATCATCAAATGAAGGGCCTACTTCTTTTACAGCATCTACGACAGCGGAATTCTCAAATCCCATATCAAGCAGTTTCGCAATGACTTCATCTTCATCAGGTGAGACGCTATTGACATTCATGGCACGAAAAATGCTCTCTAGCGAAAATTTATGAAACCAAGAGTCAATCATGCATCAAAATGCAAACCAGAAAAACCGGATTCCCATATGAAAATTCGATTCCAAATCCAATTGAAATTAATTTTCACATCAATTTCTCGTTTTTACTAACATAAAAAGGGATCTTGCTCTTGCCCTTAAACTTAATTACCTCAAAGAACAAATGGAAATTAAAACAAGTTGTAATTTTTAATTTCTTCCTAAGAAAACTGATTCGACTAATCGACAATGGTGTGAGATTCAGTTGAGCAATCAAAGTTGAAACGGTGAAAATTAAAAACCATAAAGAACAATTCCGCGTATTCAATTAATTAATAATTAAGCAAAAATTGAAGAAAGATATGTACATTAATCAAGATTAAAACTCAAAAGACGAAAATCGAAAGCATGAGCTTACGTTAGCCCTGCGCGCAAGCGCTCTCTTTTCTCTGGGAACTTGGGAACTCACCCCGCCAAGCTCCGCAGTTGGGAATTTTGAAGTGGAGGCGTATCGCGTGTATGGTCTTCTCTCATCCTACGTCATGTCGTCCGTCCTATTGCGCCAGTAAAACAGAACATTAATAATTGATAATACAAATATAGGCTCAATTAGCCAACATGATTTTCTCCGGATCCTATTTGTGATGTTCTTATAGATCCGTGAATCGTGTCGGTTCATCATATATTATGCGAACAATTTTTGTCAGGTACTATTTGTATTCAATTTTAAATAAAATAATTTCTAACGGTAAAATGTATGATAAACGAACATAATTCACTGATCTCTTAAATCCTCACAGAGATGATCCGTATTTCTCAATTAGGAATGCTTTCAAAATCATGAAACGTTTTTTGAAAAAATATTTTTTTGAGTTCTAAAAATATTTAAAGTGTTTTCTACATAAAAACACTTATATGTTTTTCTATGATTTATTTATAGTTTTACTAAAGATTAATTTCACAAACATTTTTACAAAACACGCTTTTAACTATTTTAAAAAACACTTACAACCAAGCTCATAGATAATTTAACGCGAACACAACCTATTGCTTCTCATGCATTGTTCCATCAAAATCTACTTGCACTGTAGGGTTAAACGAAAAAAATTCCAATTTTCATTCAATATTAAAAAAGTTGAAATTAAAGTTCAAATATACATCTTACTAGACTTACTTGAAGTAAAACTCAAATTTTAGGTTCTAAATCTATCTCAACTTGTTGCCAACCCTTGTGGGTCAAATATGAGTTTTAACTCAAAACTCATTTTTTGTCACATCCGGGCCCAGGGTGGAACCACTTCCCAGGCCTGACTCCACTACCGTAGCACGATATTGTCCGCTTTGGGCTTACCATTCCCTCACGATTTTGTTTTTGGGAACTCACGAGCAACTTCCCAATGGGTCACCCATCATGGGATTGCTCAAGCCCCATTCTCGCTTAACTTCGAAGTTCCAACGGAACCCGAAACCAGTGAACTCCCAAAATGCCTCGTGCTAGGTAGGGATGAGAATATACATATAAGGCTCACTCCCCTGGGTGATGTGAGATGTCACATTTTTGGGGCAAATTTAGCCCAAAATTCCACTTGGTTAGTGTGTTCGGGGCATCGTATGTGTATTTTTTTTAGTTTTATATTTATAAATTCATTGAATCTAACAACTAAGATTTAGAGTAAATTGTGATTTGACCCCCTGAATTATCATTCTAGTTGAAATTAACCCCATAAACTATTTTTTTAGTAAATTAACCCCTTGAACTATTTAAAATCAATCAATTAACCAGTTGCCGTTAAAATTGCGGAAGTTCAAGGGCAAATTAGTCGTTTCATCATTAATTGTTACTTGCCAGTTATAACCACTAATAAAATTTTGACACATGGACACAAAATAATCAAAAATATATAGCATAATAAGAAAACATAGAAAAACCAAACGTTTACATAACGGACCATCTCACATTGTCATTACACATTATTTTGTTTTCACATGTCATAATTACATTATTGGTTATAGTTGACAAGCAATAATTGATAAAGGAAAGACTAATTTTCCTTTGAATTTGACGAAATAGAGGATGAAATCTACCGACAAGGAGTCAATTGGCTTATTTCAAATAGTTTAGGGGGTTAATTTACTAAAAAAATTGTTTAGATGGTCAATTTCAACTGGAATGATAGTTCAAGAGGTCAAATAACAGTTTAACTTAAGATTTAATATGATTAAATCTAACAGTTCAAATTTAAATATAACGGCTAAAATAATTAAAAATGTATATATATTTGCGTGTTTCATATTCTTTTATAACGTTCCACGAGTTTTATGATGTCGGTTTAGTGATTTTCAATATTTATCGGAATCTAAATATTTTTAAGTTAAAATGTTCGTAAAATTAAATAAGGATAGTATACATTTTTTTTTCTTTTAAAAAAATTACTTTAAGAATCCTAAATTCAGTATTTAATAATCTCGAACTAAAAATTGAAACCAAAAGAGTTTGAGTAGAAAAACATGTTTCTGAGTTAAAACCTAAATTTTATGGGTTAAAAATTTTAGGTTTTAATTCAAGAGATGAAGATGGTCTTATAGATTTCACTTCAGTACTACGTAGCATTAAATGCTACGAACATTGGATGACCTGAATTCACGAGACCACAATAAAAATAATATCCAAACCAATCCAGGTTATCCAATACTAATGCTACTTGACGTGAAAGAATTTTCCTTACCATTACGTAAACACCATCAACCATGATACATTTTGAGCTATAACACCCGTCAAAAGAAAAGAACAAAAACGACAATGAAATCTCAAACATTCTCCCTTCCTAGTTTCTACAACTCATCATTTGCTTCTTCCTCATCCTGCGAATCACTAGAACTTCCACCACTCCTCATAAACTTGCTTTATCACCGGGTTACATACTGCCTCCACCTCCTTCAGCTTCCCATCGAAATCATCCTTCTCGGCGTTTTGGTTGTCATCCAACCACTCGAGCGCTTCCTTCAGTGTGCTTTCGATCTTCTCCTTGTCATCTGAATCAATCTTATCTGCCAGCTTGTCCTTGTCATTGACAGTGCTCTTCAAGCTGTAATGTAGGTCTCAAGTTTGTTCCTGGCATCGACTTTTTCCCTCACTTTGTTATCCTCTTCGGCAAACTCCTCAGCCTCCTTCACCATTCTCTCTATCTCTTCCCGGCTCAGACGCCCCTTGTCGTTGGTGATGGTTATGGATTGAGATTTCTTTGCCGCCTTGTCCTCTACTCTCACGTGTAGGATGCCATTTGCATCAATCTCAAATGTCACCTCGATTTGGGGAACTCCTCTGCAGCAGAAAATTAAAGCAGGCAGCTTTCAGTATATAATTCGTCTTTGCAAATATTAGACAAGACTAAATTTACCCCAACCAATTCAGATTAGTACTTGGGTTAGTTTTCAATTACCTTGGAGCAGGTGGAATGCCGGTGAGACCACGCTCACGACAATCCTTCGCCAAGCTTTTTTCACCTTCGTGCACCTGATTATTTTCAACCGCATACATCAGTCAAAGTAACAAAAAAAAGCACATGCTATGCAAAATGTCGAAATTCCCATCAAACTAATGTGTGCATATATCTGTTATAAACATACCTCGATGGATACTGTGGTCTACTGGTCTTGATAAGCGGTGAAGACTTGAGACTTCTTAGTTGGGATGACGGTGTTTCTTGGAATCAATTTTGTCATGACACCGCCAACTGGTTCGATACCAAGACTAAACGGCACAACATCAAGCAAAAGCAGGTCTGCAAAGAAAACAAAGCAAATCTTAGTCATTTGTAAATTATGTTAACAATCAGGGCACTCACTAACAAATGAAAGCGTACAATTACCCTTGGTTTCTTCCCCGCCTTCGCCACTGAGAACTCCACCTTGAACTGCAGCACCGTATGCAACAGCCTCATCAGGATTGACCCCCTTGCTTGGCTCTTTCCCATCGAAGAAGTCCTTCAACATCTCTTGCACCTTAGGAATTCGGGTGCTCCCTCCAACGAGGACAATCTCGTGAATATCCTTCTTCTTCAAGCCTGCATCTTCTAAAGCCTTCTTTACCGGTCCCATGGTCTTCTTGACCAAGTCCATGTTCAACTCCTCGAATCTAGCCCTTGTCAATGGCTCCGACAAATCTACGTCATCAAAAAGAGATACAATCTCCACTAGAACCTGATGCTGCCTACTCAACGCTCTCTTAGCTCTCTCACATTCCTTTCGAAGTTTCCCAAGAGCCATGTGGTCCTTGCTAATATCCTTGATATATTTCTTCTTGATCAACTTGATGAGGTAGTCCATTACTCTATGGTCGAAGTCCTCTCCTCCCAAGTGAGTGTCTCCGCTTGTAGACCTCACCCCAAACACACCGTTATCAATTGTCAAGATGCTAACATCAAATGTACCACCACCAAGATCGTAAACTAATATGTTCTTCTCTTCTTTCTTCTCTATACCAAGGGCAATGGCTGGGGCCGTACGCTCGTTGATTATCCGAGCCACATTGAGCCCAGCAATGATGCCTGCATCATGTAGCCTGACTCTCTGCGCATCATTGAAATAAGCTACAAGAACCGATCAAAAGCAACTCATCAAACCAACGAACACAATAACATAATTACTATGTTTACTCATTGTATTATCTAATAACCATGCACAGGACTATAGAAGATTTAAGCGAGGAAATTTTCAAGCATTACCTGGAACGGTTACCACGGCGTCTTTGATCTTCCTCCCGAGGTAGGCCTCGGCGGTTTCCTTCATCTTACTCAAAATCATAGCACTGATTTCCTCAGGGCTAAAAACCTTGGTTTCACCTTTAACCTTCACCTGCATATAAGGCTTCCCATCTTTGTTCACAACCTTATAAGGTAAAAACTTAATATCTCTTTGAACCTCTGGATCATCAAACCTACAAATCAAAACACCGAATCGAACAAAACCCAATTAAGTTCATAATCCAAATTAAACACACAGATAATCCACAACATCTTCCAATCCAAGTACCATTCTTCCCATTTAAGTTCATAATCCAAATTAAACACACAGATAAACCACATCCCCTTCCAAATAATCCAATTTAGCAAGTGAAAATTTGCTTACTTTCCCCATTTTGTTAATAATCCAAATTAAACACACACAAAATCAGTCTCTTGCAGCCAAATTACTAAGTAAATTTGCCTACTTTCGCCCAATGAGCCGCTTGACGTCGAAAATGATGCGTTCTGCGTTGAGAGGGGCTTGATTCTTGGCCGCCTCTCGATCAGACGCTCCGTATCAGTGAATGCGACCCAGCAGGGCGTGATTCTGTTGCCTTGATCGTTCGCTATGATTTACACATGACCGTTCTTGTACACTCCCACACAGGAATACGTTGTTCCGAGATCGATTCCGATCAGAGTCCCCAAATGAATCATCGGCCGCTACTGCTATTCCACACAGGAATTCTACCCACAAGCCAAAATTAAAAAGAACAAATTCTTCAGCAAATGTATGAAAAAAAATAAATCGGAATTCGGATGTGCCATAGACTAATCACAAGTTCAAAGTCAAGGATGAAAATTATTGATTTAATAAAATAAACTAGAAATTTTCTGTGACGTTTGTTCTTAAAATCGAGCACATATTAGTTAGAGACTTAAAATCAGTCACATGTTGATACATTTTGCAAAGACATGTGATACATTATCGGTGACAAATTAGCGTTCGTTCTTAGTAATTGTCACTCAATAAAGAAGTAGAAATGAATGTTCATTTCAGAACCGAACTAGTTAAGAAATTAACATAAAGATTTGATTATATTGTAGAGAAGTAGAAATGTGAACAACAATGCTTGGATCCTCTTCGCCTCCATTGATTTTCTTTTTCTTTTAGAAAAACTAATAAAAATGACTTGAAAACTTTACGTTTTAATCAAAATGACAAAAAGGTGTTGTAAGTAAATAATACTAAGAATGACTTTTTATAGTAAAATGTCATTTTTCGTTAAAATTAACAATACCGGAAATGTTTAGTTAAAACTTCATTTTTTTTTTTTTTTTTTTTTTTTTAAGTTGAGATTTTTGTGTTTGGGAATTTGAATTCTGAGTGTGAGAGAAGAAGGTTGAGGCCTGAGGGGGTTCTTATATACTGTGTGGCCTGTGCGGCAATGTTTATGTCGTGCGTATTATTGGCCAATGGCGGTGCGCCACGTTGGCAGTTTTTATCAGCGCACGTTGTTGCCTTGTTACCGGGACATGTCAAATGGCGTATGGTAGGTTGACGCGTGGAGTCTGTTGGGATCCGAACTGTTCTTGAATTGTGAATAAGGGGAAAAGGGCGCGCGGAGAGCTGGAGGGTAAAATGGGTATCGGACGAAAGAACGAGGGTGTTATAGTAATTTGGACTCTTTGTTTCAGATGTCTAATTGGGTCTTTGAGTCTGGGCTGGGCTGGACCACAATTGATTTGTTTTTATTTGGCCCATTATCACTTCGACCTCACGGAAGCCCAAATCATTCCAACATGACAAGACAACCTTAGTGGTGGAGAAATTCTTGAGTTCCGGCGGTCGTCCACGTCATCCGTCATCACAAAAAACACGTGGGACCCCGACATTCAGGTATACCAAAATGGGACCATGTGTGGGAGCCGGTTGAAGGAGAAATTTTCTCAGCTAAGTTTAAATTTTAGTGGCGTTATTGTCCAATAAATGTTTGTCATGTGTTTAAAAAGTGCACTATCTATCTAATTGATGATTGACTCGTGAAGAATTGGTGACAAAAGATAATCTCTCCAAATGAAGGAGTTCTCCTTGCATGTTTCTTAGGCGAACTAGTTGATGTGCATAATTACTCGCACCACGACTATCTTTTGAGTTTCTATTTCATATTAAGTTCTCCTAATATTTTAAAGTGTGTCCATTTGGCACGAAATGAAAAATGTATCACCTATTCCGTTACTTTTTCATCACCCGAATGAACAAAATAACCCTCAATTTGACAGAAAAATCGACATATTTGACGATATGAAACGACACATTTTAGATGAGGTAATGAAATTCATATCCAACGCAGCCTTAAGGCCAAAACCCTACATACAAAATTCAAAACCACGTTAACGTTCTTGCTTAGTGAATGAAAATCCATCATATGAACACACCAAAAACAATCTCACAAAATCTACAACCTATTTGAATGGAGCCAGAGGATTTGGAGTGCGTGGTGCTTTTGAGCTTCTAAGCTCTTTACAAACATGATCCAACATTCCCAGAAAGTCCCTAACAATCACGAAAATCCGAAGCGGATTCGCTTCTTCCTTGCTCACGTTCCCATGGAAATACTCTGTTATCTCCTTCACCTGTGACAGAACCCTACTCTCATCACCCTGCAACTCTCTCAAACGTTCCTCCGCGTAACATATGAACGATTTCATCGAATTGACCAAATTACGACTGTTCTCATCCATGCACAACTCTTTGTGTATAAGATGTTTGATCTTTTCCATTCCATCGGAGAGATTTGATACACTGCTTGCAAGAACATCCAAGTCCAATGTGGCTGTTTTCTTCGCGTTGTAGAGCTCGGTGCTGAGGCCGGAAACTAGGTCAAGCCCCATTCTTCTGTAGTCTTCTTCTTTCTCTTCTAGGGTTTTGGTTTTGTTCTTCTGGCTGATCTTCCCCATGATGCTGTCCGAAACTCGAATCCCTTCTACCCGTATTATTTCTTGCACAACAAAATGTAGCAATGTGGTTTTTCCATCGGTTCCTTTTACATCGGAGAGCTTGAGGAGAGTGTCTAGCTTGAATGCTCTGGCACCTCCTCGGATCGTTCCAACATTCATCCGGTTTCCTGTTTTCAACACCGCTTCGAGTAGCTTCAAGAAGAGCCTGCTTGACCTCAGTTCCTTACAGGCCTCCTATAAACCGTAATTTAGACAAAAGAAAAAGATTATTTTGTGCTCAAATATGTTTCTTGTTGTATAATAAAAGCGGATCTAGCAGAAGCACTTATGAACAGAAGGCTTCTTACATAAGCATATTCCCGAACAGGCCTACCTCTAGCACTGAAAAGGAGTTCCTAAGGTGAACCACCTCATCTTCAAACGTTTCTCTGTAAAGCATTGCTTGAACTCGTTGGAAAGCGAAAGGTACTCTAAGCACCGCCTTCACAAACTTCTCCGCTGACCCGAGTTCATTGATGTCTCCCTTGTAGCCAGTGAGCTTACCCTCTTCCTCCTTGGTGAGTTCCATCCTCACGAGCGCTTCCAGTTGTTGTAAGCACAAGCCATTTCCTGTTAATGTCGTAATCTTGTTAGGTTTTGGTTGTTTATGGTACCAGTCCAGCTCTGCGAAAGACGTCCTGATTTGGTAAAGTATATTTGTAAGTTTTAAGAGTTGCATATATACCTTGAACTAGTGCTTCGCATACTTGATCAGCAGTAGAATTCAGGGCTTTTGAGAGTATGGTTATGTTCTGTAGTCTTTTCGGCTCAAGAACATTCTTGCTTGGAGAAGGGCTCTTGCTCTTTGCTTCATCATTCTTCATTGAGCCTTGTAGATTGTATCCGAAAAGCGATTCAATCATTTCCTCATCCAGCCTGTTTCAAGACTCATAATCAGGTCAAGGTTTTAAGCAGAAAAGTAGATACCAAGACAAATCTGAAACGCAATGTAACTTACTCGAACGAGCTTGATCTCAGTTTGTCCCACACCATAGAATGATCCGGTGCAGCTCTGACTTTGTCCCAATGCAACGGCTTCAGTTTAGGCAGCGGAGTTCCATCTTTCCCCAATGGTGTAGCCTGAGGGAGGGGCGGAGGAGGAGGACCTTTCAAAAAGCTATTATTCGCTTTCGAAAAGGGAGGCGGGCAGGGTGGTGGAGGAATAGGAGGTGGAGTTTCTGAAGGTCTAGAAGAGTTTTGAGGCGAAACAGAAAATCCCCCTTCGGGGGTTTGATTTGATCCGCAAGAAGAACCTGATTTTCTTGGCGGTGATAGATTTCGCAATGTAGAAGACGAGCACGAAGCTTTCGATGCAATTCTAGTTGAACTGGGAGAAGAATGGAAATGAAGAAAATGTTTGATTGGTGGTGGGGGTGGAGGAGGTGGTGCTGGAGGAGCGTTGACATTCTTTTCGCAATTGGAAGAGCACGGTGCAGTCAGAAGTTCGGATTCTTTATTTCGGATTATGGTTTCTGGTTGATCTGGTAAGTTTATACAACGTGCTTCTAAACAAGGTTCTATGTTCGACACATTTGTGGAGAGAACATCCGATGAGTCACCTAGGCTACCAGCCGAGGCATTTGAAAGGTGGATGTTGGATGAATTCGAATCTCCGAAAGAATGGAAAGATTCATCATCGGAAGAATACGAATCAACAGGAATAATTTTGTCACCGGTTGCGGAATTAGCACAATCAGACTCATATTTCACTGCCTCTGCAATTATATCCTCGTGAGCAGACATAATTTCCCTATTGGAAGAACTACTACTAGCATCATCGAATTCCGATTTCATCACTTGTTGATTTGTTTCTTCCCTCTCAAGCAATGTATGATTTCGTGACGTAATTACAGTTTCGCAAGTTTCTTTGGAACAAGAAATATGCTGCTGTTGCTGCTCTAAATCCAACCCTAACGAATCAATATAAATGAGATCAGAAGTAGTAGTGGTGGTGGCAGGATTTAGCCTCACCTTGCTTGGTGATTTAGCTCCTCCGTTTTGGCCGAAAACCGAAATCACGCTCGTGGGTTTCTTCTTATGTTTCCTGTGCTTCCTGCAACCCCAAACGATGCCGAGCACACAAATCACAACCGCAGCTCCTGCAGAAACAAGAACCGGTACAAGTATCCTCGCCGTTCCGCTTCTATCTTCTCTGTGAATGCCTTGAGGCTTTGAGATTGAGCGCAAGCGGTGCGGATGATGCGAATGCGCGTGGATGTGAGGCGCCGGAGCAGGAGCGGGAGCTGGACTCGGAGCTTCCGCTTCACTGTAGGGCGACGGAGAAGGAGAAGGAGAAGGAGAAACATTTCCACTGTCGGCAGCTGACGGCGTTCGCTTGTGGAAGCTGTTCAGTCCAAGTAAAGCTCTGAACTTTTCGACAACCGGAACTGCATTCTCTTCATCTTCCCCGGAAACTCTGTGAATCTGTAAGTTTTGGGGAGCCTCGGCATTGTCCTCCATGAAATGCAGGTGGTGTTGCAGGCCATGAACATTGAAGCATTCCTCTGCTGCATTGTGCAATGACAGGAGAAAAGATACGATGAAAAAGATCATGAGGAGGAGAATCTGAGAGAAAATGTACACCATTTTTCTCTCTCTCAACCCAAAAATCATCAAAGCAGCAATCTAACTTTCTGTTTATAAATCATCTTCTTTTTGTTCATTTATTTGGAAAAGAAAGGAAAAACAGAAAGTTCTTTGGGTGGGTGTAGCAGAATAGGTGGTGTGCAATGAAGGTATTGCACAGAGAGAGAGAGAGAGAGAGGAGAGAGAGAGGGACGGAGGGTGAGAGAGGGAGGGAGGGAGAGAGAGACTTTAATGCTACTCCAAGGAACCCCTGAGCATGGCAGTTGAAGGTGTACTGACCATTCTTTTACTTCTGTGTTCATGCAAATCTTATCTCTTCTCACCTCCATTAATGCCTCTGCAAAAACACCTTTAATTTAACAAAGAGCTGGTGTTTCAGTGGTCAATGATAGATTACGAGGATTTCTTAAAATTAAAAACTAGAGGTCTCAGTTAGAAAATCGATGCTGGTGTGGAAACCAGACTTATGGTCAGATTAAAATGCCTCTGTAAGTCTTCCCGACCTCTAGAAGGAGTGGATAACCGTGGTTTGCCACCAGTTGTCCCACTTTTTTAAAAAAAAAAAAAAAGAAACACCTTTAATTTGCTTCCTATATGTCTCTCAAACAATGTTCTATCTAAACCCTAATTTTAACACAATTTTTAGCCTATTTTTTTCTCTTTAAATATTTTTTGATGTTTTCTGCTATATATTCATCAATTGCCAATCATGAACTTGATCATTTTATTTTTCATAAAGTTTTAGTGATGATTTATGAGTTCAAGAAGGCCGCTTTACATGTTAAATGAGTCATGGGATTTGCAGTTGAACGTGGCTTTTTTAGCAGATACAACTCATCAAAACAAAACAAGTCTTCGTGGGTCCCATTTTGTTTTTTCCCTACCTAAGTCTATACATCGAATATTTTACTATGCAATTTTTTTGGAATCAACGGTTTCGTGGTTATGGTTTACTCTTTCGGAGTCTGAATAGATTCACAGATATATTTCACTTTCTTATAATTATTATGGTGTAATTCAGCAACACCAAGAATGTCGAATAGGTGATTAAATTTTTACTATGCATTGATGTATTGCAGAAATGTTCAATAAGTCATCAGCTGATTGAAAAATGATTGGTAATTTATTTTTAGATTATATTATGATCAATAATAAATGACCCTTTTAAGTGTTTAAGTGTCAATTCTAACTATCAAATTCAAGGGGGGGATGATCTCAATTTTTAGTCGCCAAGTTCCATGATGTATTGCTACATTCTCTTGTAGGATCTTGCATGAAAGAAGCCATTACAAGACTAGTTTGGGACATCGTCTTCTTGGCGTCTTCGTTCATACGAGGCTTTCTTCCTATGTAGAGCATGATGGCACTAGTTCTCTCCAACCCTTATAATCGCAGAGAGGAATATACAAAGAGAGGGGACCATCACTTTCCCATGTGGTCTTCGGAAGCCAAAAGGAAAACATCAAGTGTAAAATTATAAGATCTTGATAGGTGCCAAATTATGGGATGCTTAAAAGTTTATTAGCAACTGCTTGTCCCTTTCTCTATTTCTAATGTATTGCTCACATATTCTTCCTTTTGAACTTGCATCCAAATTTCGGTGCGATTAATGTTGGTTTTTCACGACCTAATTCACAGTGTCATTAGCTTCTGCGTTGTCCCCTTCACCTAACCAGAGAGAGAGAGAGAGAGAGAGAGAGAGAGAGAGAGAGGAGACTCAAAGCTACAAGACAGAGACTACCTGCATGTCGTTAGTAATTGGCTAACCATAGTGGTTGCTTAGAATTCAACACTGTGCAGTGGGGGACCTTACCTTACCATGTTACTTCATGCACCACTTTTTTTTGGGAACAATTAGCCTGCAAGGCTGCAACCAATTTGTTACCTAAGTTAATGAAAAAGCAGAGAATATTGAGCTTAAGAAGTTAGTACCATTTGTAGAAACATCATAGTTTAATATGCATAAACTGTTCTTTCTGTAATTTTAATGAATTGCTTTCGTATATGTTCACACTTTAGTTTGTAGTTAAGTAAGAATGTCTCGTTTATAAGGAGTCAAGCAATCTTTTTGAAATGCGAGGTTGAGTTGAAATTTCAAGTTGTGTTTTATCTATCATCTTCAACTCGATGCGATTTGATCAACTTACATATTTTTTTTCTTTCTATAGAGTAATTTAGACTGGTGGTTAGTTTCACATATATTTTTCTAGAAGTAGAGCCCGCCTTGATTTGCTCGCGCATAGTGCACTTCATTTTGTGAGCCGCATTTTTTGTGCGCCGAGACCGCCTTGTTTAGTGTGATAGAAGCCCGTCTCATTTTCCGTGATGGAGCCTGCCTCATTTTTCTGTGTGCTTGGGTTCACCTCGATTAGCGTGCGCGAAGTGCATCTCATTTAGTGAGCCACGTTTTTTGTGTGCCAAGCCTGCCGCATTTTACATGCATTGAGCCCTTGTTTTTCATGCATAGAGCCTGACGAAGTACGCCTCATTTTGCGTGCACAGAGCCTGCATCGTTTTTTTTTAAAACATGGGTTTGCCTCGTTCTGGGTGTGCAGAGTCTGCCTCGTTTTACATGTCGTATTTTTTTCGTGCACCAAGCTCGACTCATTTTGCGCGCTAGAAGTCCATCTCATTTTCTGTGAGCGGAGCCCGCTTCGTTTTTTGTGCGCCCTAGTTCGGCTCGTTCTGCGTCCCCAGAGTCCACCTCGTTTTGCAGGGACGGAGATCGCATTTTTTTTGCACCCACAGAGTAGGACTTCAGGGAAATGTTTTGCGTGGAGTTAAGGAAAATGTTGCAAGATCTTTAGATGTAATCCTACCTTTTATTAGGTCTTGGAACTATTTTGTTTTTATTTTTAAGTTGAAAAGTAGAAAAAATAATATAAATAAGTAGTAAGGCCCCCAAAGAGATTTGTGGTGTCAAATTTTTTTGGAATGTCCTAAATTAATTTTTAAAAACATGTGTAGCGACTAGAATGACTCAAATTTTGGTTTATAATAAATATTGTAAAAGTTCTCAAAATCGATTGGAAAATTGAAGTTTTTGTGAAGAAAATTGAAGTTTTTAGTTTTAGGAAATATTTTGCATGAGAATTAACAAAAATGTTGCAAGACATTTGGATGCGATTGTAACATTTATTAGATTTCGAAACTATTTTTTATTGATTTTCAAAGTTGAAAAAATAGAAAAAAATAATATAAACTAATCGCGAGCTCCCCAAGGAGACTTGTAGGTCTTGTAGGTATTGAAAATCTTTAAAATGTCCTAAATTAATTTTAAAAAACAAATGGTACAAGTAGAATAACTTAAATTTTAGCTTATAATGAATTTTATAAATGTTCTCAAAATCGATTTAAAAACGTGGGTTATATGTCCATTGAATGCACTATAATTGTCCCCTAGACCATACCATAATAGTCCCCTAGGCCATATCATGTCTGTCTTTCAAGACAAACATGATGTACGGTCACAGCTTTTTACTTGAAAAAATATGATTCACTATTCTTTTGCTCAAACCTCATGCTACTACGGTTGGTCATTGTTTCAGTTCATGCTAATATGTCATGCGTAAGTTAATTCTTAATCAGGATATATTACTTTCGTTAATTTTTTTCAGCAGATATTGGTCTAGTCTCCCCGCTTGTTTTACTTTTCTTTTTTCTTCATATTATTAATAAAATCCAGTATAGGGGAATGGGCGAGAGGTTTTCTAGGTGCAACAGTCCTTTCTTTTTTGGGGGAGGGTTGGTGTCTTCACATGACCGTTGGCAAAGAATCAATCTCTTTAATTCTTCTCTACAAAATTTACATTAAAGGGGCAAAAAAAAAAAACCAGTGAATGTAGTTTAGTTTTGGTCGGAAAGATGATGTGTAGGGATAGTCAATAGGTGCCCATGGATGGATACTCCATATATTCGTCATCATCACAAACACAAATATCACCACTCATCACTACATTAACACATCTACACGTAAATAAACTTCCATTTAACTATATAGGGGAAATGGATCGTCTCTGGATTCCTTCCACCTAATCCTCCTCATCAAACAATCCGGGTCTTTGAAATTTGATCCAAAAGCTAAAAACATAAGTTCACTTTAAAAGTTATAATAACTTTAGCCATTGAATCAAATTTCAAAAGCCCGAATTATTTGATGAAGAGAATTAGGTAGAAATGATCTGGAAAGAATATCTTTCCCCAAATAGGTACCCATTGACCAGTCGGGTACAGAGTCAGTTGCTAACCCAGAAGCTGGTCCCAACTGAAGAGCACAACCCCACTTGATGGAGGACAACTGGAAGAGGATTGGGGTCATTGCCCTATGGATTTCAATATTCTTGGACCTTTTCACTTGGAAATTCATTCAGTATAAGAATCGGGCCATGTTTGATGTAATGGGCTATTGTGTATTTATAGCTAAGGGTGGAGCTGAGACCCTCAAGTTCAACATGGCCCTAATTCTTCTACCGATTTGTAGAAATTCAATTACTTGGGTGAGAAGCAAGACCAAGCTAGGGGTTATAGTCCCTTTTGATGACAATATCAATTTTCATAAGTTAAGAAGCTAAAAAATTCTACCTAGATGTCCCTAATGAATAATGTGATTAATAAATGTGATGCATGTTATAACGTTGATAACATTTCGACACATGTCATAGCATCTATGACACATGCAACATGTTCTTCAATAAGATAAACGTTTGTTTTATAGTATGACTAATGCCAATGATCTGAAACTGTTTAGGTGATCACATTTGGGATCCTAGTTGGAGTAGAGCTACATGCCGATTCACATTTGACATGTGACTTTCGTAGACTATTACAGTCGACCGACGATGAATACAAGCCAATGAAGTTGTTTTATGGGACCAACTGGCCAGACGACTATTGGTGGTTCGTGTTTTCGATAGTGCTTCAGTGGTGTCTATATATTGCTTTCGTTTATAACCTTGCTATGTCCATTTATTGTCACAGATGTAGATGTATAAGGCTGTTCAGTCCTACTCTACGCATGTGAGGGCTTGATTCGTGCATATTCAGGTCGGGCTATAAAACTGTTGAAATTTTGAAGGTCCATTCGAAAGTTGATCAACTTCTTTCTCACTATGAACATCTTCATCGAAAGGATAAATACAAGCACTATTTATTGTTTTGGTCAAATCTTTGATTAATATTTCGGGTTCCAGCATATCCCGGAAATGTTTTGGCACTGCATATGTCAAAACCTCAAAGATTCAAATACAGTCGTGGGCGGTATATCTATGTAAATCGTTCGGTTCTTTTTATTCAAAATGATTTTTGAGATTGACATACCTCCTCACTTTAATTTTTGAAATTTAAAATCGATAGAAG